CGACACGCCGGAGGCGAAACAACGGGACATCTTCTTGGCCAGCTGCGGGACCCGCGTCTTCAGCCTCCTTCTCGACCTCCTCAAGCCGGCCACGCCGCACGTCAAAACGCTGGGTGAGCTGCTCGCCACGCTGCGCTCGCACTTCAGCCCGGCACCGTCCACGCTTATGGAGCGGTTCCGCTTCAACAACCGGAGCCACCGGGACGGAGAGACCCTCGGGCAGTTCGTCGCTGCGCTACGAGGGTTAGCGAGCACCTGCGCCTTCGGCGACCAGTTGGACTCGCTACTGCGGGACCGGTTCGTCTGCGACATCAACAACCCTGCAATGCAGACGCGACTCCTGGAGCTCCCCGACCCCTCGCTGAACGACGGGGTGAAGGCAGCGCTGGCGATGGAAGCAGCAGCGAAGGACGCCAGCGAGATAGCGCGTGCGGCCAGCTCACCGTCGACGGAAGCGGCGGTGAACAAGATGGCGGCAAGGAGCGGTGCCTGCAGCCGCTGCGGTGCTGCCCACTCCCCCTCACAGTGCCAGTTCGTCCAAGCACAATGCTTCACGTGCGGGAGAACTGGGCACCTCGCAGTGCTGTCGAGGGGGGAGGACGAGCGGCGGCCAGCAGCAGCAGCAGCAGCAGCCTGGTTCAAGCCCGGGTTCCAGCCAAGCCCGCGGCCAGGGTGGCCGTCGCAAGAAAACGCGACAGGGACGAGCGGCATCAGGCCCGGGTCCGTCTTCAGCCAGGGTCCACGTCGTGGCCGAGGACCCGCAGATTTTCGACGTGTGGCACACCAGTAGACTTTCATCGTCTGTGCCACCTTACTTGGTGTCAGTTGAAATCTGCGGCCACCCCATCACCATGGAGCTGGACACAGGGGCCAGCGTGTCGGTCATGCCCGGGAAGCTGTTCAAGCGTACCTTCCCTGGCGTGTCCATCGAGGCGTCTGACGTCATGCTGCGCAGCTACTCCGGGCAGCTTTCCCAGGTCCAGGGTCGGGCCCAAGTCAGCGTTCGCCTTGGCGACAGGGAGGCAATCCTTCCCCTTTATTTCACCAAGGGGTCGTCGCCGACGCTGCTGGGCCGGAACTGGATTCACTCGCTGGGTGTTCGGCTGCCGGAGTACCAAGAAGCTGCGCTGCACGGGGTGAAAGACGTCCCGAGCCTCCTGACCGACTTCCAGTCCCTGTTCCAGCCAGGGGTGGGCACCTTCGCCGGCACGACGGTTGGCATCCACGTTCCCAAGGGAGCCCGGCCTCGGTTCTTCAAGCCGCGTCCGCTGCCGTTCGCCCTGAAGGACGGGGTCACCCAGGAGCTGCAACGGCTGCAGCGAGAGGGAATCCTGGTGCCCGTCAAGTCTTCCGAGTGGGTTGCACCGATCGTTCCAGTCCTCAAGCAAAACGGCCGCTTCAGGATCTGCAGGGACTTCAAAGTCACCATCAACCCCGTCGCTACCGTCGAGAAGTACCCGCTGCCTCGGGTAGAAGATCTCTGGTCGGCTCTGTCCGAGGGACAGAAGTTCTCCAAGCTCGACCTTCGAGATGCCTGCCAGCAGCTGGTGCTCCAGGATGCCGCCCGGAAGTATGTCACCATTTCGACTACCATGGGACTCTTCCAGTACACGCGCCTACCGTTCGGCGTGGCCTCAGCCCCAGCCATCTTCCAGAGAGAGATGGATAACCTCTTCAGGGTCATGAGACACGTGGCGGTGTACTTGGACGACATCCTGGTTACCGGTACCGACGACGGGGACCACCTGCAGAACCTGCGCAAAGTCCTGACACTACTACAGGACGCCGGTCTCAAGCTGAGGCTGGACAAGTGCGTGTTCCTGACCCCCAGCGTGGAGTACCTGGGACACATCATCCCCCAGGCTGTCCTGGCCCCGGCACCCCGCAAGATTGAGGCCGTGCTCAAGGCGCCGAAGCCCAAGAGCAAGAAGGAGCTTCAAAGCTACCTCGGCCTCGTCAACTTCTACAGGAGGTTCCTGCCCAACCTGTCGACGCATCTGGAGCCGCTGCATCGCCTGCTTCGTGATGGGCAGCAGTGGGCCTGGAAGAAGGAGCAGGACTTGGCCTTCCAGCGCAGCAGCGAAGATCTGATAGCCGATACACGAGAAAGCGCGTCGGCGACCACGTTATCTTTTCCGCTCACATGCTGGATGTCGGTGGTGAACTGGGCGATAAACGAAAGCTGGTTCTGCTGGACTGGCGTAAGTTTGTCACGGCGTTGAGAGAAGGCGTAGGTTAGAGGCTTGTGGTCGGTATAAATGGTGCAGTGCTGTGCCTCGAGGATGTGGCGAAAGTGCTGAACTGCTTTGTAAATGGCGAGAAGCTCTCCGTAGTAAGCTGGCCAGTGGCCAGTTCGTCTGAGCGGAGGTCGTAGTTGTGTCGGTGGGGCTGGCGGTGGGAGGGGACGTTTTCCGAATGGAGAGTTTCTTTGAGAAAAAAAGTAAAAGCCGTTTACTACTCCCTGTAACACCGAATTAGAGTGCAGCTCTTGAGGAGGAGGGGGGAAGGGTACTGGGGGGTCACGTGACCTTGGGGGGTCACGTGACGATGCCAATGATGTCGATGACGATGCGGACTCCGATGACGTCATCAGCGATGATGACGATGCGGATGTCGGTGACCGGCATCCACATCGTCATCATCATCACGGATGACGTCATCAGTGATGATGACGATGCGGATGCCGATGAGGTCATCAGTGACGTCACTGATGACGTCATCAGTGATGATGACGATGCGGATGCCGGTGACGTCATCAGTGACGGTGACGTCATCGGGGAGGTCACGTGACCTCGGCGGGGGTCACGTGACCCTGGGGGTGGTCACGTGACCTCGGGGGTGTCACGTGACTTCGGAGGGGGGTCACGTGACCTCGGGGGGGGGGTCACGTGACCTCGGGGGTCACGTGACTTTGGGTGTCACGTGACCTTGGGGGTGATGTGACCCTGGGGGAGGGGTCACGTGACCTCTGGGGGTCACGTGACCTTGGGGTGACCTTGGGGGCCACGTGACCTTGGGGTGACCTTGGTTACGCCGACGGCGACGCCGACGCCGCTCAAGCCGGGAACGGGCCCCTAAGAGCTGCGCTCTAAAATGCCAAGGGACGCCAGATGTTGTCGACACGTTGCATGAGGGAGGCGCCGACTGCGAAACTGGAGGCGTCCGTGAAGAGCCCCAAGGGAGCGTCTGGTACGGGATAAGACAGAAGTGTGGCATCGCAGAATGCAGTTTTGCATTTCTCGAAATTTTGCGCTAAAGCTGGCGTCCAGGTGACGGGTTGGTTGCCTCGTAGACCAGCCAAGGCATCATGAAGAGGAGCTTGGTAGTCAGCTGTGTGAGGCAAGAAGCGCCTGTAGAAGTTAAAGGAGCTGTGCAACGATATTCAGTTGGAATGTTTTTCACTTTACACGAGCTTACTGGCACTAGTGAGACTCAAGGATACTTGCACGCAACGCCACTGGCCAAGAAACTCCTTTGTTGCGGTGAAATTTCAAGGACAAAAGCAATTATTTTCGTTCACTCTCTCCTTGGCAAAATTTGATGATGTAACGTGGGAATCGCAGAACACCCAAGTGACGATATTTGAATGCGGTTCATAGATTGGACGCGAGCCCTGCGTGGGCACTCGATTTGGGCTCGTGACAATTGCTAGCTCGAGAAGCATTCGGGTTGTGACCCGTGTCCAATCGCTGCAACGACGACAACAGCCGAGCCATAACAATGTCTGGAACTCAGCGCGTGTCCTGCGCTTTGGCAACCCCAGCGCGTGGCTATGATCAACACTGGCGGCATATAATCGGCTCCAGATCACGTGACCGCTTGTTCTGGCTGCGAGTTGAGGGGGTGAACGCTGCTCGTTTTTCTTAAATTTTTGTCTGGGACTTCTATTGCGTGTGGTGAAGAACGAACGCGTGTTTCATAGGTCATTAATGTCAGGGAACCGTTCTAAGCGGTATTTGCGCAAGGTACAAAAATTGTTGCATTGCTCCTTTAAGCATGCCGAGGAAACGACGGAGGTCTTTAGCGGAGGACGGTTGAGGATAATTCTGCAGGTCTGAGATGCGGTCAGGCAAGGGTCGAGTTCCCTCTGATGAAATTTCGTGACCGTGGAAGGTGACAGTGGGGGCGCCGAGAGTGCTCTTTTGGATATTGACGAGCAGACCGTGGTCATCAAGTCGTTGGAAGAGTAGGCGAAGGTGCCTATGGTGGTCTTCGGCGTTTTGGGAGAAGATTAATATATCGTTAAGATAGACGAAGCAGAAGTCAAGGCCGCGGACGACTTCGTCGATGAAACGTTGAAAGGTTTGTCCTGCGTTCCTCAGGCCAAAGCTCATGAAGAGGGACTCGAACAAGCCAAAGGGTGTAATGATCGCGGTTTTGGGGATGTCCTCCTGGTTTGCAGGTATTTGCGTGTAGGCCTTCACCAAATCTAGCACGGAGAAGACGTGGCAGCCTTGGAGACGGTGGGCGAAGTCCTGTATGTGATGAATGGGGTATCTGTCGGAGATGGTGCGAGCGTTGAGGCCGCGGTAATCCCCGCAGGGTCGCCAGCCTTCAGTCTTCTTCGGGACAAGGTGAAGCGGCGAGGCCCACGGGCTCTCGGATCGGCGGGCGATTCCTTCGTGTACCATGGACTCGAACTTTGCTTTGGCGATGCGCAAGCGGTCCGCAGCAAGGCGACGAGCGCGGCAGAAGACCGGAGGGCCCGGAGTGGTTCGGATGTGGTGTACAGTGGTGTGTCGCACGTCCCGTGGCAGCCCGCTGGGTCGCGTTAAACCGGGAAATTCGGCGAGTATGGCGTGGTACGGCGAAAGTTTTCCACACCGAGTACTTTAATGCTGAGCTGGTGGGTGGTCGTGCGCTGGCCTGGCGAAGAAAATCCCGTTGTCGCGTCAATGAGTCGGTCGTGGCGACAGTAGGGAAGGAGGTTGTACTGTGCCAAAAAGTCTGAGCCGATGATTGGCTCGGAGACGTCGGCGATGACGAAATTCCAATGGAGGTCACGGTGTAGGTTTTTTAGTTGGACGTGCAGACGGAGCGAGCCGTAGGTCTTGATGGTGGACCGGTTTGTTGCGCTGAGCCATGAGCGCGAAAGACGTAGGTGGATGGGAACCTTGAAGATGGGTACGAGGATAGCAGCAAGTGTCAGAGGCACAGTTGAGAAGGAACCGCTGCTTTGTGATTTGATCGGTGACGAAGATGCGGCGGCCTGCGGGTTGGCAGCTTGTAGCCGCGTCTACAAGCTGCCGTTGGCGTTTCCCTGATGTCCGACAGAAACAGGGTGGTCGGCATTGTCGGGCTCTGTCCCCGAAGCGCCGATGGTAGTAGCATCGGCTACTGTCACGAGGCTGCTGTGACGGGCCGGTGTTACGGTCACGGCTCTGTGAGCGGTAACGGGGGCGCGTCGGAGGACTTTGATCCAGGCGTCGTTGAATGGAGCTGAGCTGCCGCGTGATATCGTCGATTCGGTGCGCGAGCTCTGTGGTGTCCAGCGGTGCTTCGACGGCGTGGACGGTGGGCGACAGCGGCGGTACAGAGACCTCAATGACGTGGTCAGCAATTTCGGCAAGTTGGTCTAGAGGTAGCGTAGGTTGAGCCTGTAGAATGGCCTGGACGTGTGGTGGTAGTCATTGGAGCCATAGTGTCCGCAGAAAAAAATCGTGGACTTGCGTGTTGCCTACGAAAGCACGCATGTGGCGGAGGAGCTGTGATGGTTTGCGCTCGGCGAGTTCTGCGGACTGAATAAGTTGACGGACTTTCTGGTCTTCCGATAGTGACAGGCGGCGGGTGAATTCAGTTTTGAGATGTTGATAAAGGTTGGCCGCTGGTGGATTGTCGAGGATATCCCGTATCTCGTTGGCGTAGCGGCTGTCCAAGTGGGCGACGACGTAATCGTAGCGCGTTCGGTCTTCGGTGATGCGCGCCAGGGAGAACTGCGCCTCGACTTGTGCGAACCATACCTCAGGCGAGTCCGCCCAAAACGGCGGAAGTTTGACGGCTACACGGCAGACGCCAAGTGAAGCAGCGTCCGAGATGACAGCTGCAGGGGTTCCGCCGCCTGCTGCGGTGCCGGTAGGCACGGGCGGTATTAGAGAGCTTTAGAATAAACGGCCCCAACGCTTTCGGGAACCCAACGCTTTGGGGTACCCAACGCAACGACACCTCACGCAGCGTGCTTATAGAATAGGGTTTGTGACGACGCAACGCGGCACGCTCGCTTTTTTCGCATGCAACACCATTGTGGACAACGAACAAGCTTCTTAACAGTGAAAAATTATTAAAACGCAAAACATTTGCGCTGAAACGACACTTTATCATGGCTTGCGGTTCAAATAATAGCGGGGGGGGGGGGGGGGTAACACCAGTTGGAACGGCACAGCAAGACCCATCTGCCGACCATCTTTGAATCAGAAGATTTACTTCTCTGGTCACAAGAGAGTGCACGTCCTCAAATACCAGGCTATCATGTGCGCCAATAGAATTATCTGCGAACTCGACGGGCCATTCCCCGGTCACAGGCACGACGCTGGTTGGTGTAGCTTGCTTTTAGCCCATCCTGTAGCTGATGCAGCACGACAGCTATAGAGAGTTTTATAATAGGCGGTCCCGAAGCTTTGGGGCCCCAAAGAAATAGGGGCCCAGCACTGCGCATGTGCAGAACCCAAACTCAGTTTGGGGTTTTGGGTTGGCACGTGCCCCCAACGTGAAATTCGAGAAATAGCGTGGGGCCCCCAATAGTTTGGGGCCGGGTTCTGTCAGCAAACATGGCGGCGCCCTTTCCGCTCGCTTCGGAGAAAATTCGTCATGGTCGCTGCAGTATTTGCCGATTTCATTGCCAATGAATAGTGCAACCGGCTTTCGCTTTGATTTATCTCGCTCAAGTCACAAAGAATGAGCGGTGGGCTCGCCCCGTTTTAAAGATCGTACCCGATTCTGGCCGTTCCTAAGCCTTAACATACATCGTAACTGTTGACATGGTAACGTATTGCTGCTCCGCGGCTAAAAACTCGTTCGCACAACCCCCCCCCCCCCTTTTTTTTTTTGTTATGTTACGAAAAGTTACCGGGAAATCTGTGCTTCGTATTAAACTCTGTCAGCAGCAGGTCGACCCGGTCGCGGATGGCCCGCGTGGAGTGATTCTTCCGATTGCTTCGGAGACCCTTTTGGCATTTGAATTCCATCTCTTGGAATCCTCAAATGGGTTAGTGGCGTACACCTCGCCTAGCACATAAATTATATCGTCGATCGAGAAGCGAACGCGCGCGGGAGCCTTCTCTTCCGCCATTTTCTTCTGGCCTTGGATTGGCCTCGACTCGTTCGCCCATCCCGTTTCGGGTGCAGCCGAAACAATCCAATCCGTAGCGTTCTAATTTGACGCTTGTTCTCGTAGTAGCATAGAGAGTTGAGCTAGCTGGTACTTAAGACATACCTAAAACAGCGCACAAGCACCGGAGGAAGATAACAAAACGCAGGAAGGGGCGCTGACTCCCAACTTATGTATTGTGAAAGAAAGAAAAAGAGGAACCTTCAGATATGAAGCCCACGTTGTTGTTCTTTCTTCTTTTTTCTCGTCTTTTTTTTGTCGTGACCTTGTAATGTCAGTTTTCTTCTTTTCTACTGTAACTTAGTAATGTATCTGTTTTTATTCTTCCTTGTTTTTACCTTGTGGGTGCGCGTGGGCCTTATGTCTGAGGCTTCCTCTTTCTCTTTCTTTCACAATGCATAAGTTCGGAGTCAGCGCTCTTCCCTGTGTTCTATTTTCTTCCTCCTGTGCTCGTTCTCGAACTTTTTGGGGTATGTTTCGTTCTAAAATTTTTGGGGGTTCGTGTGCTCTTTGACCAACTGCAGCCGAAGATTTAGGCCTTCAACTATGCCGAGACTGAGACGAACGCGAGCGCGTTTTCAAGATGCAGGTATCTTGCCACGAACAAAATCTACTCGGAGTCACGGAGTAGCAATACGTTGCCATGTCAACGGTTACCGCGTATGTTTAAGGCTTAGAAACGGCCAGAATCGGGGACGATATTTAAAATGGGGCAAGTCCACCGCTCATTCTTTGTGACCTGAGCGAGATAAACCAAAGCGGAAGGCGGTTGCACTATTCATTGGCAATGAAATTGGCTAATACTGCAGCGACCATGAAGAATTTGCTCCGAAGCGAGCGGAAAGGGCGCCGCCATGTTGGCCGACGCAACCCGGCCCCAAGCGCCAACCCAAAGCCCCAAACAGAGTTTGGTTTCTGCGCATGCGCAGTGGTGAGACCCTATTTCTTTCGGGCCCCCAAGCTTTGGGGCCCCCTATTCTAAAACTCTCTATTGTGTTGGCGTTAGCAGGGTTCTGTTCCACGGGAGCATCGAGTTGGTGCTGCTGTTGCTATACCGTACGATGGGCTATCCGGTACGAACAGTGCACATGAGAGTCCTCTGTGGTATAGTCGGTTGCAAGCTAAGAAAAAACCGGAAATGCCTCTCAGAGGAAAATGTAATCCTACGCCGAGAAACGCCAGCCAATCGTTTTCATGACGTCACGATTCCGTAAACCAATCGCGATCCTTTTGAAAAAAAAAAAAAAAAGCCCAACATGGCTGCTGGCCTTAGCAACGTGACGCTAGTTTCTCGTGACAATTATTCTGCTTTTTTGCACCGTGTTTTACGTGCCCGAGGTTACGCCACGAAATCTTAATGGTATCAGCTTGCGTTTGCAGCAGTTTTTGCGCGACAACGTGAGAATCCAGCGACGCTATCGCCAACGAAAATTTCGAAGCGGGCGCGAGGCTTAGCACTGCTGAGAGGTATGTTAGACGGTATGTTAGACAGTATGTTGGACAGAAAATGAATTTGGAAGACGGTACATTGGACATGACTTTCTTTCTTTACTAAACAGCTATTTCGTTGACAAAAACGTATTCTAAATTATTTAAATGTCCTGAATGAATTAAATAAATATTGTAGTAGTTTAAGACACGTTTCCTGGAGGAAGAAAAAGCAACGTTGCTAGCGAACTACTTTCTCGACGGCGGACGCAGTTCAGATGGGCGCAATGCGCTTGTGGGTGGAGCTAAAAGATTGTTCTTAGGTTGCATCCGACTATAGTGCATGCGCAGTTCGTACCGGAGGGCCCATCGTACCGTGTCGGACGTGAAAAAACTGGTCCCTTAAACTCTCTGATATTGAGTTTTAGGGAACTGTTTTTGCACATCCGGTACCGTCCGGTACGAACAGCGCACATGAGAGTCTTCTATTGTAGCACATGCGCAGTTCGTACCGGAAAGATCATTGTATACCATATCGGACGTGCGAACACGGTTCCCTGAAACTCTCTATACTGTCTGCATGCTGTCATTTGTAAAATGTAATGGCAGCGTGACTGCAGCGTATGGTGATTTGTTTTAGAAAAGGCAGTGGCTGGCAGTGTCGGATCGGTCTTGTTTCAGTCGCCGTCACAGAATGCCAGCTGCCTTTTTTTTTCCTTTTAGTTGTTTTTGTTGCATCCGATAAAATGCTCCTTTTTAGCTATGCCCTTGTTTTATTTGTCGCGACATCATGGTGCTTTATTCCCGGACTGTCAAAGCATGGAAAACTACAAATTTTCGTCATTTACGACGCCCCAGCGCCCTAACAATAACGGTACACAACTCTGGAAATAGCGTTATAGACGCGAAAGCGGTGAGAACACTCGTAGTGTCACTTTTTGCTGCTCTCTTTTATTTTTGTTGTAAATTTTGTTTAGGTGCGCTCCTTCGTTTTTACAGAATGGCGAATCAACGTCATTCAACCTCCCCGCTTAATGGTGAACACCGAGGTATAAAATTGCTAATGAACTCGGTATTCGGCAACTGTAAGAAGGAGGAAGTTACAGTTCTGAATAAGCGGATGCCGATTAAGGCCGCTCAAAAGAGTGAGCTTAGCGTCCGAGGTCAATCTTGCGAGATCGATACAAAAAAAAAAAAAAAAAGAATATGTTATAGGTTGGAGGCACGCGGACTACAATTAACTTCTCGTCCACTAAATGGTATCTATTTATATGAACAAATATTCTTCACGGAGCTTGCGACAGTGTTACTGAGACCAAAATTTGCGTCCCTCATGCCGTGGAAAAAAAGGATTCCCGGCACTCAAACTACCCCGGCACTCAACCAAAGGCTCGCTAGTCTGCAAGACAATTGCAGCTCGAAGTAGCGGACCAAAAGCCATGAACTCAAAAAAAAAAACAAAAAAAAAAATCGTGTAATTTGTTTTACTATTAGCGCGGTCAAATCCTAGATATTTATTCGTATACTCGTTAGGTACAGGCCAAATGAAGGGCGTTGCCGCCCGCACACAAGTGCCGATGCGGCCGTCTACGTGATGATGTCGATGTGGAGTTTTGTGATCGATGTATATGAGATAGTGACAGTGGTAGGATTTTGGTTATGTACTATGAATGAAGTTATGTGAGATTTGTGGGTGTGATCAAGGGTATTCTGCAACTGCCCTGCAGAGCTCCGTCGCTTCTTCTTTGTTCGTGATCGGGAGGGTGACGGTATGGTCATGTGGAGCTCTCCAGAATCTCACACCACGCAGGAGGCATGTGTTGTCGTGTCGTTGGGTCGGTGCGACAAAGGGGTCGATACGTCCAGCACGTTCATTACGACGGGGTACGAAGCGGAGGTAATTGTCCTGTTGGATCCCAGGACTAGTGGCGTCACGAGGGAGGTGCGGGGGGGGGGGGGGGCTGTCGCGACGGGCTACGAGAGGGGGGGGGGGTTGTTGCTGGGAGCAACGAGCGGGAGGGGGGGATGGGGGGGATATCGCCGCGGGCCACCGCCCCGGGTGCCGCTGACCCTGGTGACGCCACTGCCCGCGACCAATTATGTGGGCCAGCAGCCGCAGGGTGGCTACGTCTCTTCGTTGGGCCAGTGTGCTCCCCTTGGCGTTCCTTTATAGTTGGGATGTCGGGATGTCACGTGGTGGGAAGCGAGGGCTTGGCGATGCTTAGCAATAGATCCCGTAGGCTGCATCTTGTTGTATGGTCTCCAGCGTTGTTTTCTGGGCTGACGCTCCTTGTGGTGACCACGTGGGC